GGAATGCTCCAATTACCAGGGCAACACATTATTTAGGCCCAGGGTAAAGTCCACACAAAGGTGCTAAAAAAGAGGGGCCGCGGAAAAACTGACACAAGAACAGCAGCGTGGCTTCCGGCCCGGCCGATGCAATGTGACTAGATTTTTGCCCCACGCCAGACTGCTGAGAAATCGTGGGAGTTTACTCCATCTGGTGTACATGAGCTCTGTGGACCTAAAAAAAACGTATGACCGCGCAACAACTTATGGGCACCCCGCGAAAATATGGAATCAATGGCCAGTTTCAACGGATCTGCCAATCTCTATATGCTGCGTCGAAGTAAACTGCGTTAAGTCAAGGCTTTTCAACGTTGGTACTGGTCTCGGCCATGGCTGTGACTTTCCAAGTTTGTGCTGGAAATGGATGGAATAGTCGGGCGCAGCCAGGGCGAAAACTGTATCAGCGTAGGTGTCAATACGAGAAGACTGATGTTTGCAGATGACCTCATTTTATTGGCATCTTCTGGGACTGATCTCCGTTGCTTTCTGAAAGGGTTGGAAGCTGAGGGAGATGGGGCAGACATGCGCGTGAACGTATTTAAAACCAAAATCCTAGTGTTTTCTCGTTCTCCTGTCCTAAGAAGCAGTGGAGCATGTGGAAAAGTTCAAGTAACTCGGGGTCGTATTTATTGATATGGAAGACAGGAGGAAGAGATCGACTGGAGGTTTGGAATAGCCAGTGGCGTTCTGCGTGAAGTAGTCCAAACCGTTATACCTACAACAGAACTGAGTCTGAAGGCTAAGCTCCCGGTATTCAAGTCGATCTTCAAACCAATGCTTTTCAGTGGTCAAGAGTCGTGGAACATGACTGAATAACTTCGGAGCGTACAAGCGGCTAAAATGGGCTTTCCGAGACGAAATGCAAGGCTCACGTGTCTCTGCATGGTAGAACTTTGGTTTACAGCCGCTGCTTCTTCCAACTGAAAAGTTTCAGCCTGAATCGCTTGGGCACATGTTCCGAATGTATTCAGAAAAGAAGTCGAAGCAACTACTAGTTGCTCAGCCGAACGGAAGAAAGACACATAGTAAAACCACGAATGACCTGTGCACGTATACTGAAGAGGTATTCCTTTGACTCTGGTGGTCTTCTGCCGCAGTTGAAAAGCTAATACAGGATCGGGAATGTTGCACACTGTCGTCATGTCTGTCCCTGCGAACCGAAATAAGCAGTGATGAAAAATGAATGAAAAAAGAATGAATAATTAATTGGAAATAATACTCTAAATGATCTGTTTGCCCAAAACGTGCAGGAAGGCAGTGCTTCTTTAAGTACTGGGTGATGTCTGACAGATGCGGTGGAATTGGTTGGACGAATAATGAAATTTGACGTTACCGCCATCATGCAGGATTGACAGCTGCAATGTCAGAGATATACTCTGTATTTCCCTCTTTCCTTCCCACTCACTTATCAATCTCTGAAGGAAGAAGGATTGCCATCCCAGATCAGGGCTCGATTCGATTCTCGAGTCTAATGCTCTATGGAATTTTTAGCCTTGGTGTGAAAGAATGTTGTAAATTCCGTGGTCGGAGGAATTTGTGATAAAGAGAAATTTCTAGCCGCGGGAATCGAATCCGGCACCCCGTGATTTCGAACAAAACATCTTATAACCACCACAGCGTCAGTGACGAATGCGTCTAAAATCGAAGATATTTAAGATATTTATACACGGTGAAGGTCGCATAACACTAATCATGCCCTATTCAGAAAAAGACAGGATGGCCGAAAAAGCGTGCTCGAGACGTTTAGTCAGGACAGAATACTTCTCAGCAGATTGCTTATAAAAAATAATGAGACGCTCGCTAATTACCGAACAGTGACTTGTTAGAGAATGTACTTCGCTTTGCTGCGTATTCCTTACACTGGCCATCATTTGCTCTGATCACCATGATGTTAGGATGAGTGTTAAAGAATGCAACATTCTGAATATGGTTAATCGGAATTATATAAGTCGTAGGAGGACATCTCAAATGCCTGGAACTTTAATGGCTGTAGAACCACATTATTTAATATTTCCAGGTGTTTCATGAATCCACCTTCAGAGCTTGGCGATAAGAGATGCGCCTACAAGCCTACAACTCTTGACTATATAATATACGAATTAAAATCGATCTTTAACTATAAAAGTACATCCAAATTCTTTTTGGGATAGAAACCTTTGCCAGCTTAAAACAACAATAACAGTTAATCTACGATTTTCTTGAAAACAATAGTATAAAGTATTATCACCATGGCATAAAATTACGTCATTCGTAAGCTAGTAATAGCTCCAAATCAGAGGCTTATGCTGAATCTTTTAGTAAAACGGCAGTGACTTTGAATATGCATAATAACTATCTACTATAACGAGATAAAATAATCAATCTTCTTAATAAATAAATTACATATGTAGAGGTAATCGTGATAAGTTTCATATTCTACACGCAGAAAATTACCTAATAAAGAACGTTCCTAAATGAAACAAATAAAACTGACAATGTGGCATATCATTATCTATCGTTAAGTTGAAGCGCCTCAGATATTAAAATAACATGACCGGGACCAGTACATAGCAGAAGCTGGGAAGAAAGTACAGTCTAATAACTGTATTCAGAGAATATTCCACTGCTTGATGTTACCATCCTGGCCAACAGAAAGCACCGTCGATGGGTCCAACCACGCGATTCCCGTTACTTGACTCATCGTGTGAGCAGCTAAATAACAACACAAAATTCAGGATAAATTCACTTTGAAGTACCTTGAATAATAATTGGATGTTCCTTTGGATTTTCGATATCCCACACGATAACACTCGTATCTAGGCTACCGGATGCGAGATGCCGATTATCAGGCGAAAAGGCGACACAGTTTACTCTAGCGGTGTGGAAAGTCCAGTCGTTTTTCACCGCATTCTGAAAGTATAAGTTCGACAAACAACGAGGGCGTCACGTAGAAGTTGTACTTCACACGACGGATAAATATATGGGACCACACGACGGGAGGCGTCGGTTGCAGCGAAGAAGCAGCCGTTTGAGCTGAAGGTCACATCAGTGACTGTTCCGTGATGGGTCATTTCATGAGAGACGCTCAAAGAACTTCCCGCCAGCGTATACACATGTAGTTTGCTATCCTGAAACCAAAATCAATTAAAGTAAAAGGATCTGTAACCCCAAAGTTTCCTACCTCTCCACCAACGATGATACAGTCCTCCGTAGGATGCACAGCTACGCAAGTAGCCTCGTAATCCAGAGGGCTACTCAGCAGTTCAGTTTCACTGCGAAACACTACAATCTCCTTCGCACAAACAACCACACTGAGTGACATATCAGCTTTAGATGCTACTCCGCGGGGCTGCGACGACAGCGAAATCTGTCGAGGAGATACTGACCAAGTATCTGAGGAAGAATCTTCTCCACACGCTCCCTTTATAAAGGCGACCGTGTCGTCCATTGAAACCGACAATAGAACACCGGCCGCAAGGCACATTGACTGAACCTGAGATAGGTGGAACTTTGGCTCTGCCTGCTGGCACATACCAGACGACGTACCCCAACGCACTAAATACATTAAAAACTGTCACTTAATTTATGACCAGAAGCTGACAGCACACTGCTCTCTCGTGAGAAAAACAAGAGGTACTCTGAAGAAATGAGGATTTTGCTATTTTAGTGAATACCTGGTTCTGTCAAACAAATTCAAGACATCCTGTTACACAGGGCGGACAATGACGAATACGCCGATCGTAAACAAATAACTGTTAGAGCAGTCATGAAAACTTGCAATAAACTCTGAACTAGCTTGTTAACGAAGAAAACAACATCCAAAGCTAGCAATGCACATAGGTTCTTTATATTTCTGTATAGCCAAGGATAATTTGATTAGAAAATGTAAAAATTCTGTAAAAATTCACCAAGGCTACTATCTGTTTTAATCCCCCAAAAAGGTGATGCTAACAATACTTGCTGCACGATGACAGGAAATCAAAAAAATATAACCTATCGTGCCAATTATCCTCTTATGCCAAACTCTTGCAAACTCGGCAT